CAGACTGAGGTGTGCAGCTGCAGGGGGAGGGCTGGAGGACAGTTGGTGTTTTTGCAGTGAGAGGTCCTCTTTCCTTACAGCCAGCAGGCCGGAGCCATCTTTCCTATGTTGAGCCCACTCCCACATGCCAAATCTGAATCTGATTGGCCTGATGAGCTCTGCTGCTCTGCCCTGCTGACTCAGCACCCAATTCACACACTGCCAGAGGCACTTTTTCCACAAGTAGCCAGCCCCTCCTGCATTGAATTTTTACTTGGAAAACTATAGGAGTCCATGGGCCCCAGGTGGACAGAGACTGGCCTCAGTGTGCTCTGAGACTTTTGCTGAGTCACTCCATGCTCAGCACTGGCACCAAACCAGAATTACATTAACCTGTAATTACATTGACCAGCTCTTCCCACTCTAGTGACTCCCTGAGACCCTGCCTTACCCAACTGGCATACCAAATGATGCTTTATCAGTGGCTGAACCTTAAGGAAACTGGCAGGTGGCAGCAGGCCTCCGGGTGTCCTGGCTTTTTGCAGAGTTACCCAGGCCTGGTACTGGTGGTAGTCATCCTCAGTTCACAGCATGGCCTCTCCCATATGCCTCCAGGTTTAGCACAGGCAGTAACAACCTTGGATCACTTTGTAGCCCCTACTAGGTAGCCCCCAGCCAGTCTCAGGCCGTGGCTGACCTAGGTCTCTACTGAAGTCCCTCCCAAGAGGCCCCAGAACCAACATACTTGGCTTCAGATGATATCAGAGAACTGCCCAATTAGCCCCACAAGTGGCACACACAAAGGGTGGTCTCAACAGGCATCAGAGCCCAGTGGGGCGAATCCCACTCAGTGGGGTAAGCCTCCTTCACAGCAGCCCATGAGCTGTGGATGTGGCCAAACCCCACAACCAGAGGGTCAATTCTACCCACTGACATGCCAATAGCAATCAAGGCTCAACTATAACAAGAGGGCACACAGAACCTACACAAGGGACACTCCTGGGGCACCCAGCTAAGGTGACCAGGGAGACTGTGCCACAGAAAACAAGACCCTTACATATGCTGCTTACAAGAGACTCACTTCAGATTGAAGACTCACACAGACAGATAGTAAAGGGATGGAAAACAATATTTTATGAAAATGAAAAAAGACAAAGCTGTGTTAGCAATACTTATACCAGACAAAATAGACTTTAAATCAAAGGCTATATGAAGAGACAATGAAGGACCCAGTAATCCCCCACTTCAGGGTATTCATCTGAAGAAACCCAAGACACTACTTTGAGGGGAGGTGTGCATCCGTATGTTCATTGCAGCACTGTTTACAATGGCCAAGATGTGGATGCAGCCTGGGTGTGGGGCTGTTTTGGTTCATCCTGTTGGGGACTCTCTGAACTTCCTGGACTTTAGAAAATATAATAAAGCAATGTGCTAATTTACTATCCCACCAGTAATGAATAAGAAGTATGGCTAATATTTCTTACTGTGTTAGACAAAACTTTTATGATGATGTATCATTGTTTTATTTGAATATTTTTATTACTATGAATTTGAACATTTCTTCAAAAGCCCATTGGCCATTTTATTATATATTGGCAAATGCTTTTTCATATCTTTTGTGTCTTGATTTTTCTGTTGGGATATTTTTTTCATGTTATTATTTACAGCTTTTTATATACTAAGACTCTTAAACCTTTGTAAAACACTTATGTTGCAGACACTTTTCCTTTGTTCTTTATTTTTAAATTGCATGTATGTTTATGTTTATGTGTGTGTTTGGGGATGTGCAGAATATTTCATTTTTATATAATCAAATTTATCATCTTTTTCCTTTGTGGTTTTCATGCTTAAAAAGACCATCCTAGAACACATAAATATTCATCCAGATTTTGGTGCCTTCATGATTTCTTGGTTGCATCTTTCATTCTTCATGAAAAGCTTGAGGATACCTAACTTTAATTTGTTTCCAAGTATATGGCCAGTTTTCCTAATACCAGTTATAAGATGATCATTCTTTCTCTGCTAATGTGAAATATAACTTTATTTGGTACTAAATTCTTACATATACTAGATCTTTTCTAGAATTGATATTTTTGTGCAGGGAATATTATGTTTCTGCAACTCTTTTTTCATTACTGTATTCTTAACAAGGGCTTTAATATCAGGAAAGTCAAGACATTACTTTTTAAAATTTTAAATGAATATTTTTATTCACTCTATTTCTTCTGCTGCTTTAATTTTAGAATCATTTGTCATATCACCCTGCAAGGAGGAAAATGAAACCAGCACTATTATTGTTGTTACATTAAATCAGGTTAATTTGAGGAAGAATTAAATGGCTTATAATTTTGAAACTTTATAACTCACCCTTTATTCAAGTCATTTTTTTTATACTCCCCAGTAGAATATTGAGGCTTTCTATTTATGGGATCTTTATATACTTCTTGTCAATTCCAGTGATTTTCTTTCTTTCTTTTTCTTTTTCTTTTTTTTTTTTTAGCTGAGCCATCCTGCCACCTGTTGGCAGCCCAGTGGCAGTTCAGCTCTGGCCAGGAATGGAACCAGTGACCCTGTTGCTCAGAGCTCGTACTCTTGAGCAAGCTCTTAACCAACTGAGCCACTCGGCCGGCACTTCCAGTGTTTTTTTCAAAATTTTTCATTGCAAGCAAAAATGTTGACTCTTGCTGAGTAAACAGAAAAAAAACTATTCAAAATATGTTGGGTAGTTCAATGAATCAGTAAATGGGTTCTAGAACCAGACTTAGGGTTAAACTTCTAAGAAAGATGATCAGAGCTATCACAGCAAGTTCTGGGGATAAAACTGTCACCACTGCCACCATCACAGAACACTAGAAGTTCAGGGCGTAACAGCCACCTCTACAGCAGGAACTCAACTCCACAACAGCCTCCACTTCTAGGGACATTGCTACTTCTTTCTTTTTCTTATTTGCGTGGGTTAGAACTTCCAGAATAATGTGACCATTAATGCTAATGATGAGCATCTTTTTCTTATTCCTGCCTTTAATGGAAAGAGGTATCTTTGTTCACCATTACATATCAGTCCAGACAGTGATAGGAACTCATCTTAAATTCATAGCATATTAAGAGATTTGTTTTGTTTTGATTTTATTTGTACTTTTTCTCATCAGAAATAAATTTTTAATTTTATCAGACACTTCTTGGTCAAAATGATAAGATGCTTTTATTTTTTATTTTAGCCGATTAATGTGATATAGCAATAGGTTTCATAATATTTATCCTTCCCTGTATTCATAAAATAACTTTTATTCAATCATGGTGAGACAACTTCAATATAGTATAGAGTTTATGAGCACATCTTCTGAAATCTGCTTTTCTGGGTTTCAACCTAGACTCTGCTATTACTATTTGGTGTGACCATAAATAAGGAATTGAGCTTCTATAGTACTCAGGTATTTCTTCTACAAAATTGGAATGATAATAATAATTCTTAGGTAAGAGTTGTGTGAGAATCATGTGAGATAATTCATGAAAACAGCAGTACATGGCACCTAGTGTGTACTAAATATCGATATCAATTAGTATATTTACTGTCTCTTACTCTAATGTTAACTTAGTTAAAATTTTAGGCATGATTCTTGCAAATGTTTCCAAGTAAGACTGGCTTGTAGTTTTCTTTTTGGCTGTCGTTTGTGTCAATTATCTTTGACACCTTTGTGGTATCAGGGTTTTGTTAGTTTTGCCGGGTGAATGGAAAGCTTTCTACTTTCTCCATACTCCAGAAGACTAAACAACATTTAAATTTCTGTTTAATTAAAGAATGAAAATTTTTCTGAAAACCATCAGGGTCTTCAAGTTTCCTAGGGATATAGTTCTTTGACAACTTTTCCATTTCTTTCATGGCTTTCATCTTTTCAAATGTTCCACTTAAATTAATTTTTATCATATGAACTTTCCTAAAATGTCATGTTCACCATACAGTAATAAATTCAAATTTATTATAGTAGAGCTGCACATAATATTTTCTTAAAGATTTTTCAGTCTCCTTAAATTCTGTTATACTTTCTTTCTTGTTATGTTACAAAATTGATACTTGCTATTCTTCACCTTTGTTCAGGACTAATAGCAATTTCATTATCATGATTAGAATAGATAAGTTCTAGAAATATATCAATAAAAGGTATCTCAATAGTTTGCTCTCTATCAATTTCCATTTTTATGAGTTCCTTTCTCCTTGTTTCCTTTATTTATTTTTAAAGTATTTTTTTTTCTATTTCAGTGCTTAGTTATCTATTTCCCTTTTTATTTTAGGTCAAGGTATTTTAGCTAAGGGGTTATGAATTTTCCTCTGAGTACAGTTTGATCCCATTCCATATTTTTAATAAATCTATTGTTTAATATTCTTTTTGTACATTTGTACTTTTAATTTCATCTCTACTCCAAGAATTATTCAAAAAGAATACTTTTGATATTTAAGTATCTATATTTTTCATGTCTTTCAAAAATCCATTTCTAGTTTTATTACACAGAGCTCAGAGAATGTTATCTGTAGACTTTTTTTTCTTTCCCTGTAATTGTTTGATTATTTCATCAAGAAACCTGAAAAAAACTAGAAAGTGAAACATAGTAGACTTAGAGGACACCATATTGAACATAAAAGTTTTCTTTTATCTTTCTTTAAAATAAGCTTAGTAAAAGCATATGATAGCAGATAAATTATTACTGTCTTTTATCTGCTTACTGATGATAGTATCAGTAATCAACCTGAACAATTTGTCTCGGTTAAGTCAATATGCCTTCTTTCATTAACTGTTAAGGATTTTAGAGTTGGAGTTTTTTTGTTTTGTTTTGTTTTTTGTTTTCTGCTCATTAATATAAATTATTCATGTTACTACTGATTTGTGTCATATAATTATTTAAAGTGTTGATTAGCTTTTATTTGCTATAATTTGGATTTACTTTCAATATTCAAATTTCATATATGCCTAAATTCCACCTTTAAGAATATTTCTGTTTTGTTTATTTTATTCTTATTTTCACAGAACATGGTTGGAGAGTGGGCCTTACCAGAAGAAATGGTTGATAATGTACCACCCTCCAACAATTGCATATTGGGCCATGTGATTCACAGACTAATTAAAAGATCTCTTCCCCCTCAAGTTGAATTGACAGAACCTGAATTACCTTCACTTGCCATTAAAGGGTGCATATTGGGGAAAACATTTAGTGGAAAAACTACTGCTCTAAAATTTCTACAAAAAGGTAGAATTTCTTTTTTTTATTATTTGTATTTATTGGATTCTGTTTACATTGACTATAGCTGCAAATGGCTATGCCTGTAGAAAACATGCATGAGGATCTTCTGATATATTGGGAAATTCTCCATCATCAAGAATTTTATAACAGAATGAGTATATAATCTATTGTCCAAAGCAGACACTTGAACAATAGTATATAGAGTCATAAACTGTCCCAGGTAAACCTGGACATGTGGGAATGCTATACAATGATGATACATAGACTAAATAGAAATAACAAGTCATAAACTTTTTCTCATAGATTTTACTTACTAATACATGAAGCAAGAAATTAATACGTTGTCACAAATATAATAGAAATTCTCTTAAGCTTGCAAATATTTTAATTCTTCATGTTTGTTGAGTTCTTACCCTTGCTTTAATGAGCCTTTGACTTTTTTTGTAGAAGCTCTTTCAGTTAGAAGCAAAATCACAGGTTTCCGTCTGTTCAATTAGTTTTTATTCAATAATACAATACCATTATTCTTTTCACTGGAAAACACAAAATTTGCACTGAGGCTCATCTACCTTGTATCATTCTAAGGCAGAGAAGAGTAGGTCATTGTTGAGATGTTAAAAAGACCTCCTTAAAAAGCAACTTGACAAAATCACAATGAGATACTACATCACATCTACTAGAATGGAGATATATATATATATCTCAAAAAAACAGAAAATAACAAGTGTTGGTGAGGATGTAGAGAAATTGCTGATGGGGGTGTAAAATGGTAGAGTCATTAAGGAAACCAGTTTGGTGGTTCTTCAATAAGTTAAACAAAGAATTACCAAAAGACCCCAGCAATTCCCCTGGGTATATACTCAAAAATATTGAAAACAAATGTTCAAAAAACAAAGAAAAAAAGAACTTGTATAGGAATATTCATAACAGCACTATTAATAATAGCCAAAAGGTGGAACTAATCCAAATGTCCATCACCTGATGAATGGATAACAAAATATGGTATATCCATGCAATGGAATATTATTCATCCATAAAAGGGAGTGAAGTGCTGATAGCATGGGTGAACCTTGAAAACATAATACTAAGTAAGTCAAAACCAAAAGGCTATATATTGTATGATTCCATTAATACGAAATGTCCAGAATAGGCAAATCCATAGAGACAGAGCAAATTAGTAATTGCCAGGAGCAGAGGTAGGGTGATAGGAAGTGACTCCTTACTGGGTACAGAGCTTCCTTTTGGGACAATGAAAATTTTCTGGAACAAGATAGTGGTGATTGTTGGACAACATTGTAAATAACCTAAATACCACTGAAATGTGTCCTTTAGAATGGTTAATATGGTTAATTTTATATTATGTGATTTTTAACACAATAATAAGAAAAACAGCTTGATCCAAAATAAAAGTTTTAGAGAACCCTAAAGACAGTGTTAGAGGATGAAGCCAGCGCAGGACAATGATGTCAATTTCCTAAATAAAGAGCTATTGGTAGAACTGTCCTTTGTACTTTATTTTATTTTATTTTTATTTTTTTATTTTTTTTGCTAAGCAAATATTTTTATTAAGAAAGTAGCTTTTATTGGTTTTATAATGTTCATAAACTTAATAAATGCTTATTGTAGAAATTTGCATAATAAAGGAAAAACCCACACAATTGCATGAAACTCACCCAAAACACTAGTTGAAAATAAGCATTATTTTAACTTTTCTAATGTCTTAAAATGATTTTTCAAAAACCTGAGATTATATGAAATATGCTGTTTTGTATTTTATTTTTAAATGAACAGTATATGTTGAGAATTTTCCTTTTATTACATATTTTCCTAAAGACTTATTTCTAA